TTGGTATGTAAGTTTTTAGGCTATGTAACGTACAGAGATATGGATTATCTTACCAGAGAGAGCTGTATTAGAAGTAGAACCGCCACAGCATGAACTGGCATCTATGTGGGATGCCAGTGTCACAGGGTGGAGGATTTGTTTGCTGTGCCACTGCACTGACCTTACAGTTTAGCTCTTTATAGCTGAATTACTCTAGCATTGTTTCAGCAAACTGTGAAGTCAGTTGATTATTTTTGAACCTTGAAATATTATCCACAGCATAATATTAACTGGAATAAGGCTGTCTGCTGTAGAAAATCAGTCGGGAGCCAGTCTTCCAAGAATTCCTGTAGTGCGTGCCTTGGGACCCGTGTGCCATGCTCCTGTTTGCTCCCTGTCTCTCCCCCCACCATCTGTCTCCATCTTTATCTTTCTGTCCCTCTTCTTCCTCTTCCTTCCTTCATCCCTTGCTCTCTCCTTATCTCTCTCCCTCACTCCTGCTCCCCCAACCTGTAGTCTCCTCTCTGGAGTTTACTTCCCATCAAATACATCTTCTGTGCATCTCCAAGTTGGTTTTCTTTTTTTTTTTTTTCCCTTTCCAAGCATACTCTTGTTTTTCACAACTAGACTATTTGTCCCTTAAGAGTAAAAATGAAAACCTTCTGTAAATACTGACTGGACTTAAAGTTGACCTCCCACATTCTTTTGCCTCCGGTCTGAAGCATTTCTCTGTTAATATCTTGCCATATTTTATCAGGAACCTGTAAGTTGGAGAATCGGTCTCATTAATTTCTGAAACCTTTCCAGGTACCGCAGCTCAATATATGTTGGTTGAATAAGCACCTAGTGAACAAACTGTGTTACTGGCTGATTATCCTAATCTGAGTTGTAAATAACTATGATAGATTTTGATTTTCAAGATTGCTTTTTTCTCCCGATCTTGAATTTGTTTTGGATCTTTTACTTCTGTGTTGTTAAGGAATGCAAAGTAATTTTGAATAGTTGCCTAATAGAAGCATATTACAAGCAGAGTACTGGGAAAATGTTCTAAGTTACAATCCTATCATTCTTTTAGGCATTCTCCTCCATCTGTAGTCTAGCTTTATTTTCGATAGATGACAGGTCTGGGACTCCCAAGCTAATATCCTAGATGAGAACAAGTTGGTTTGGGGCATAGATCCTCTGCCACTACAGTTGTTAGCTCTTGTGTTTTGCTTAGGGAAAGTTAGTTTAGGATTAATTGTAGAATGTATTGACTTTCTATGATTTAGAAATCCATCCAAATGGATTAGAAATTATCCTTAATTACTTGCAATTTATTGATATTTGATTCCTTAAGTATCATTTAAGATTAACTTTAGAATAAGTTGATCTTTATTTGCTTAAATGGGCACCATGAATGTTACGGTCCTAATGACCCTGATTTGTATTCTGAGGTTTCTGTGCTTCAAAGCAGATTTTGTGTGACTGTCCTTGTGAGAAGCAAAGTGAAAAGCAACAGGGTCTTGTGAATGAAATTCTGGAAATAAAGGTTACAAGGAGTTATGCCCTGGATTCCCTTCCTTATAGATTTTGTTTCTGTAACTGTAGTGTTTAGAATGGAATGTGTGGCACCCTGCCACAGCAAAGGTCTCTTTCCACAAAGGACATCCATGAAGGACATGTCTTCCATATTGGAAGAGTCACACTGGCATGTTAGGGCTAATGTACATGTCTGCAGTAGTTGATCTTGATGCACAGGTAAAATAGCCTTTTACTCACGCAGGACAGTCAATCAGTGTATTTGGTTTTATAGTGTATTAACAGTATATGAACGGCACCACTAGGAAGTCTGATAACATGATGTGTATGGATTGTTTTGTGATCAAATCGTGAGGTTCCGTTTGATACCCATTTCCACAAAGCAAACATATCTAATGGTTCAGTGACTTAAATGACTGTTTAAACATATCGGTTATGTTGTTTGGAAGAATTGTTTACTCTCTCCAGACCTGTTTAATTGTGATATGAATGTAATATAGGTGTTCCATTGGATGGTTGCTGTAAAGTCTAAATGGGTTGATGTTGGTCTCAGGACATGGTGAGAGCCCAGTACGTATTTTATTATTACTATTCATGTCATTCTCAGTAGGTCAGGGAGGATACAAGGAGTCAAACTATGACATTGAGTTTTCCGAGCTCAAATCCAAAGTTAAATTAGATAATTAGAAATCCGCACTCATAGCTAAGTTTCCAGTTGAAGTATTCTCTTAAACTCTTATAGAGTGGATTGCTTTGAGGCTGAGTAAAGTGTTAACTTAAGACATGGGCAGGAAGAGTCTAACTGTGCATGTAAACCAGGTTTTTGAAAGCATGTTGTTCATGCAAGCCTGGGGTCTGTGAAGGTCTGTAAAACAGACATGTCTTTGAGGGGAGCACAGAAAAGATTTTTCTCTCTTTTAAGGACCATCTGTAAAATTCCCCACATAACAAGGAGAACAAGGAGGATAGATTTTCTAGGATCTTGACTTAAGGATGGGGCAGAGGGCTGCTACAAGCCCCAGAGGAAAAGGGAAAATGGAAGACATCCTTGGCCAACACAGTGGTAGGAACCAGGGACAGTCAGGTGGCAGCATTCTGTTTATAACGACATGTATATCTTTCTTTTTAAAATATTTTAAAATTTTTATTTGAAATACAGATTTTTACAGAACGGGAAGGAGAGACAGACAGACAGAAAGAGGTCTCCATCTGTTGGTTCACTCTTCAGATGGCCACAAGGGCAAGAGCCGAGCTGAGTTTGATTTGAAGCTAGGAGCCAAGAGCTTCTTGCCAGCTTGCCATGTGAGTGCAGGGGCCCAAGGCTTAGGCCATCCTCTGCTGATTTCATGGGTCATGAGCAGACAGCTGTGGAAGTGGAGCAGCCAGGGCACAAACTGGCACCCATATGGGACACTGGCACTTGCAGGCAGAGGATTATTTTGCTACACTACCGTGCCAACCCCACAGCTGTATGTCTTGTTCTCTTGTTCTCCATACCACTTAAATTTTTTTCTACTCTCTGTTATTTTGCTTATTTGTTTGGTTCTCTGTTCCTCATTCCTGTTTCCTTGTACTTCATCCATTTGGGCTTTCTTCTTCAAGTCTTACCTGACTGAATTCTGAATGCACATGCCAATACAAGGAAACTCTCCTGTGACATGTGCTTTAGTGTTGCTGACCTTGGCCCATATCGGCTGTCCTGGTTAGAGTCAATAGAGGAAGCAGAAGCAATGTGAAGGCTATGGGATAAGAGTTTACTATAGAAATAAGATGTAATTGAAAAAATGTGGGAAATGAAACCCCTTAGGGGAAGTTTGGAGGATCAAAGAAAAATCACAAATCAGTTCCGAGGCCCTGGCACAAGAGGATGATGTGAAGCTGCCAAGGCCCGGTGATTGTGGCTGCTCAGATGGGATCACCGTGGGCGACTGCTGCAGTTCTCTGGAGGCTGTCACTTCTGCATGGTGGGGATTTCGTGTTGCTCTCAGTAAGCAGACTGGCATCTGGGTAAAGGGACAAACTGGAGAGGAAGAGAATGGGGACGAGCTAGGGTATCCTGGTGTTTTAGACCGTCCTCACCACGAGGACTGTTAGCAAGCAATGGCTACTACTCCACTGCAGCATCTAAATCTCACTTCCAATGGAGGTGTTTCTCCCAAACGAAATTGTGATCCTGTAGGGAAAGGAATCTGGGGAATTTGGTTTCAGTTTAGCCAAGCGCACAACAGTACAAGTAGCATGCTATTGTATTTATGTATTTATCATCTTATTAATTCAAAATTTTAATGTAGCAAAACTTCAGGTAAAGGATGTTCTCTTTCTTGTGGGGCCCGTGTTTGCTCCAGTATTCATAACTGGGAACTGGATAATATCCCTGCTCTGTCATAAACAATGGTGTTATGTAACTGACCTGGTTTTCCATGATTTCTCGACTTCTGGGAATTTCAAGCCAGATTTTGTTATAGCGGACAGCAGTTATCTTAAGATCCTCCCCCTTTTTTAAATAGTTGGCTCTCATATTCACAATTCTTTCTTGTAACATGGCTCTTAGGTGTTTGCATATTTCTAATCTAAATGATAATCAAATATATAAGTTGTCTATTCACATCTAAAAATGCTCTATTTTAAATATGAGGCAGATTCATATAACAATTTATATGCAAAAGCATAAGATGAATGTACAGTAAGGAATCTCTCCCTCCTTCATTGTGTATTGAGGCTCCTTCAGATTTCTTCTTGCTTTAGCAGAGATTGTTTTTAATGTCCATAGAAAAAGATATACAGATTTACTCCAATCCATTTTGTTTACTCACAGGTAGCCTACCAAGTACTCCTCTTTTTACATTTCATTTTTTTATATAACAATAAATATATAAATAACCAGAGACTATTTTGTGAGATTTCCCGAGCGTGTTTGTGTGTGTATTGATGATATTCTTCCTTTGGGAATAGGTATAATAATAAACTCTAAATTGGGGACTGATGGACCGATTGTGAGAAACATTACAATTCCAATTAAAACAATGTGTTGTATTAGGGTGGGTGTACTGTCATTTGCCGTATCTCTCATAGGCTTGTACTCTTTTTCTGGAATCATTGGTTTATTTGTTGATTGACCTGTTCATCACCTCTCAACTTACCACCCACAGTTTCTGTGTTGATCATGAAACGCATAGAGTCATCCTCACTGTAATCGGCCTTGATGACTCAGTCTGCTCCAGGCTCAGCGTTGGTGGGGGGTGCGGTCAGTCCTCCAAAGTGAGCAAGTCTCGCTTTTCTGTTAACCTCGCTGTGCTGCTAATCTCTCACTGAGCTTCTTCCTCAGCTCTGACCTGTTGCCCTTAGGCCTATTATGGGTTGTGAATCCTATCTAGAATCCTCCCATGGATGTCCTTGTTAGCCTTGTCAATCATTTCCTTAAGAATTGGATATATTTCCCATTAGTGCTCTGCATCTTCTAATACTAGAATATGGTTCAAAACATATCTTCATGGAAATGTGCTGTTGTATCTTCAGTTGGGCGATTAGACCTGCATGCGCATTGCCAAATTAAATTCAAGTTCATCACTCCTCTGCAGGTATTCCAGTTTGTGCCAGCGATGACTCACATGGGAGATTTTCACTGAAACTAGCTCGAGTTCTGTGCTCAGTCTCCCAGACCTGCTCTCTTCATATTTTCCTTTAAGTCGACTGTCTAGGTCCCTGCACACTTATGAAGCCAGGTAGGCCCTTTTATTTTTATGACTCACATGGCATTTTCTGTATTATGTTCATTATGAGCCAGAGGGTAATGTTACAGAAAATATACTTGATTTGCATTTGGAGTAGATGGAATTAATACAAATGTTTGTTTTTTTCTGAATTTATTGCTTTCAGGAAGTGTTTCAAAGAGAAAAGTGAGTGTATATCAGATTACTGGCTAATGAAAGGCAAGTCCAACTTTCATGGACACTGATGTACTCTTTCTAGCATTGCAAAATTGTGAATGTCATCGTTGACTCATTTCCAACTCTACTTTCCAAGTGATTGTATGTTTCCCTTTACCCGACACTGAAAGTATATTAGAGAATTATTCTGCCTGCTCATTTCCTTCATAAGTTTACCAAATGCATTCCAGTTAAATTGAAGTTCACACCACTTGGAAGCATCATAAAAATATAAATTTGAAAGAAAATGTCAGCATTTTATTTATTTGAAAGGCAGAGAGAGAGAAAACAAAAGGGATATCTTTCTTCCTCTTGTTTCTTGTTTCCTTCCCAAGTGCTTGCAGTAGGCCGGGTTGGGTCAGGGAAGAACTAGGAGCCCAGAGCTCAAGTCTCCGTCTGGGGTTTTCATGTTGGGAGCAGGGTCACTTGGATCATCCCCTCCTGGCTCCCAGCATGTGTGTTGTGGGAATTTGGCTTGAAGCAGAGCTGGGACTTATGAGCACAGGAGCTCTCAAGGGGCGTGTAGACATCCCAAGCAGTGATTTCATCGCTGTACCAGATACCTACCCCAGGAACAGAGTCTATGTGCTATATATTTAATTGTAGGTAGGCACTAGTTATAGTGGGCTTTTTAAAGTCTTTAACTATTGGTTGCACAAGGAAAACCTCAATTAGTATAGCATTTATGTAGTAAAATCATGGATAGTGCTAAGTAGGCGCCTATTTCACTTGTAATTTGGACATTGAATCTAGAATCAAAGACTGTAAGGGCCAAAAATTTTAGGCTTACATGAACTAAAAATATAGCTTCATATTCATAAATATCATCTAAATAGACAGGAGTTTGGACGACCATATATGGTTTTTATTGATTTCTATGATTCCTACCTCCAATTTCTAATTAATCTAGCAAATTACTTCTTGTAATTATTTATGATACGATTTCTGTATATCCATTTGATGGAAAAATGAAAGTGGTTCTTCCTAAGAGAAGGTTTAATGAAGATATAAAAGGGTGACTTTCTTCTCTGCTTTGAATAGAAGCATTTTCTTCATTTGTGGCTTAAAATTTAAATTCAAGGAGGAAAAAGCTGATATGTTACTTCAGAGGTAAATGAAGTATATTCGTTTTCCAAATCTTCAGCATTTTAGCATTTTAATGATTCCTGTTAAAAAAGCAATTTAGGGCCCGGCGCGGTGGCGCAAGTGGTTAAGGTCCTCGCCTAGCACGCCCGGGATCCCATATGGGCGCCGGTTCTAATCCCGGCAGCCCCGCTTCCCTTCCAGCTCCCTGCCTGTGGCCTGGGAAAGCAGTCGAGGACGGCCCAAAGCTTTGGGACCCTGCACCCGTGTGGGAGACCCGGAAGAGGCTCCTGGCTTCGGATCGGCAAAGTATCGGCCCGTTGCGCTCACTTGGGGAGTGAATCATCGGACGGAAGATCTTCCTCTCTGTCTCTCCTCTCTGTATATCCGCCTTTCCAATTAAAAAATAATAAAAATAAATCTTTAAAAAAAAAAAAAAAAAAGCAATTTAGCTCTTCAAAGTCCTGTGAGCTAATGCCTTGTTTGCTGAAAGGCCTGGAGTCGAGTGGTGATACAGATTAGTTCAGGTAGGTGCTGTCTGGCTGTACTCAAGTGTGGCTTGAGAGAGTGTGCCTCTCAGGTGGCCTCTGGATTCACAGGCGAGTGTGGTTTCAAGGCACAGGTGCTCTGGCATGCTTGGAAATAAATCTCAATTGCATCAGCTTCTCCTGGATGTTGATTTGAGTGCAAAATTACAGGGTGTGCTTGAACCAAAAGGATGCCAGCTTTCTCAGCAAGCTCTTAGGTTTGGAGCCAGCTTCCATACAAAACCTCACAGCGTGTGATTGCAATCGTGCTCAGGAGAAGAGGAATCTCAGATAAAGATCACACGCAGAGAGTAAGTTAGGAGAGCAGCAGCGGAGGGACACCAGTGACAGGAGACCTGGATTCCCTCCCAGTTTGGGAGCAATGACTCCATGAGTGTTGGAGGCTTCTTAGTCACTGTCTCTCAGGTCTGGAATGATTTTTGTCAAATAAGTATTTAATGTGCAACATATTTGTCAAATGCCCAGCATTAGGTGCAGCATGTAATAGCAACACTCGCAGGTTTACTGAAGAGGTAAGACAACACAGAAATGTAACAAGGCAGGCTACAATGCAGTAGTTACATGAGGATGTGATGGATGGAATATAGTGAAGGAATTTAAAGACAGAGACGGGTTTGAGGCTAATTTTAAAGAATGAAGCCGATACAGACTAGACCACTACACTTGGCAAGATGGTGGGATTTGTGTGTGCAGACTTGGTATAAAAATGGGTGTTAGGCATACACAATGGTGTTTTATTTGGCCATAAATAGGATGAAATTGTAGCAAATGGAACACAGGTTAAGTGATTTAAGCCTGGTAAAAAAGAAAAATAGTATGTGCTTGCCACTACTTTTTATGTGTTTGAACAGTGTAGAGACATAAAGAAATAGAAGGGGGCAGGAAGTCAAGAGGGAGGAGGACAGGAGAGGGTAAGTGAAGGAAAGAGAAGCTTCCGTTGGCTGGTTATTTTCCAAAACACCCACATCCAGGATCCTTGTGGGTGGGGGCATTCGGGCGTTGAGTCTTTCTCATCTGCTAACTCCAAGGCTGTGCATTAGCAAAAAACTGGATTGGAAGCAAAGTACCTAGACTTGAACTAGGCACTGTGCCATGGGACGTGGATGTGCCAAGCAATGGTTTCATCTAGCACATCACCGCCTCTGCCCTTCTTCACCTACCTTGATCACCAGGGCTGCTTTTTGGTGTTTACAGCAATTTCTTTAAAGAACATTCATGAGTCCACGGATGATAAAGGATTCAATTAGAATGCTAAATTGGTTCCGGAGAGCAGATTTTCTCTGCCGTGTTTGCTGTGTAACCATTGAAACACACTAGATAATTCATGTTATGGAAATGATAGCCAGGAGGGAAAGACAGATTGCCAAACAGAATGGAATATAGTATTTTAAAAATTACAAATGGACTAATAATTACATGAAAATATAAAAGGTAACCATTAAAAGGCAAATCATGTTTACCTCTGGGTCATACGATGATAGATAATTCTATATTGTTATCTACTAATATCAACTTTCTGAATTTCTGGCACTGCTTATGGTAAAATCTAAAGTTACTTGTAAAATGGTTTGGTGATAAGGCTGTGTTGTGGTGCCTGCCGCATTCATGTTATCCTGCTGCAGCTAAAAGATGGCTATACCAACTTCTTTGGATTTGCTCATTCCACAGTATATATGTGTATCAAACCTCACGTTGTACCTCATTTGTAAATATAATTATTAGTCAGTTAAAAGTAAAATGACATTAATGAAGAAAAAATAAAAAGCACACAGGACCAATGTCAATTTCTGATTTGAGGTTAAACTGTGATTCCCTAAGATGTAATCACCATGGGGACTGGATAAAGAGTGGCTGGGATCTGTATTTACAGCCTTTGCAAGTTCATGTGAACTGTTAAGTATTATAATATGAAAAGTTAAAAAAATAAATTACATACGTATATAAACCTCCTTTTCATGCCCTACACTGACTCTAGCGATTTTTAGAAAAGATTTATTTATTTTTATTGGAAAGTCAGACTTACAGAGAGAGGGAGAGACTGAGAAGGATCTTCCTTCTGCTGATTTACTCCCTAAGCGGCCACAACAGCTGGAACTATGCCAATCCAGCAGCCTCTTCCAGGTCTTTCATGAGGGTGCAGGGTCCCAAGGCTCTGGGCTGTCCTCAGGTGCATTCACAGGCCACAAGCAGGGAGCTAGATGGGAAGTGGGGCCGCTGGGATATGAACTGGTGTGTGAAAGGTGAAGGCTTTAGCCACTAGACTACTGTGCCAGGCCCAATCCTAGTGATTCTTAATGTCTGCAGATCATGCATGCAGTTGACAAGATGAAGGCTTAATAAGCTCCTTCTTGCAGAAATGTTCCCATCCAATCTCAGGGTTTTCCCTACTCCTTCAGTCTGTGGCCCCATAGGAACATTTGCATTGACCCCATTTGTGGCACAGTGTAGGTCACAATAGGCCTTCTGCCCTTTGGGTCTTAGTCTTCCTTGCTCATTTCAGACCACATTAATCCTTCTGCATCTGTTTCTATCAGTTGAGTTCTGTGGAACTTAGTGCTCAAGCTCTTCTTTTAAAATTATGCGTTTGGTTCTGTCTTCAGCATGGAGACTCTATCATAATTCTTTGTATTCCTTGCAGTTTTTAGAAAGCAGGAGTCCTTACCCTGGCTTGACAGTGGGCCTCATGGCTGACACTGTGTTGGGATGCCCCACCACATGGCAGAGTTCTAGCTCTGCTGTTTATCCCAGCTAACTGCTAATGTGTATCTTAGGAGGTAGCAGGTGATGGTTTAAGTGGTTGGGTCTCTGCCACTCATGTGGGAGACCTGAATTGGGTTCCTGGCTCCTAACTTCTGGCTGGCCCAGACTAAGTTCTTGCAGACATTTGAGGAGTGAACAAACCAGTGGATGGGACATCTCCTTAAAAAGAAGTCCTTACCTATAATTAAGATTAGCACAGTTTCTTTCACAATGCATTTTTCTATAATAATTTTGATCTATTTGTAATTTAAATATATATACAGTAGGTATAAACACTATGTAGTTAGCATAAATACTATTTATATAGTTAGTATAACAGATATAAACATTATTTATCCTTCCAATTTTAGTATATGTGCTGCTGAAGTGAGTGCATTATTTAGTTAGTATATACCCTGACTTTGG